AACAGGTGTAAAGGTGAGAGGCGATCTGTCAGTGCAATTTTCTAGCAGACATTCCACCTCTGAAGAGTATTAGATTCAAATCCATGGAATCTGCGTCATCGCTCTCCAACTGCCAATCTGCCCAATATTGATCCGCGGGAATTCATACACCCTATTCTCTCTCTATATCTCAGAGTCTGATATTCAGAATATTGCCTGTTCCACCAATGCCTACGCGGAGATACAGATATCAAGGAATTCAGCCATCAATCCACGGGAATGGCAGCCAACTACTTCTACAGAAATCAAGGTATTTCTTGGGCAGATTATCTATATGGGAGTACATAAATCTCCGGCAATTGGAGATTATTGGAACAGAAATGATGTTCAGGGGCCAGTTCATTCATCAAGACTTCATATGGGACAAAAGCAATTCGAGCAGATCAAGAGATATATTCATATATCTAACCCTCGCAGGCCGGAATCCTCCTCCTTTATACAGAAGCTAGAGCCTTTATACTTCAACTTCCATGCAGCATGCTGGAAATACTACAACCCAGGTTCAAATCTCTCCATTGATGAGATGATGATTCGGTTCTTTGGACGGTTCAAATACACAGTTAAGATGCCTCAGAAACCAATCAAGCAGGGATATAAGGTCTTTGGACTAGGAGAACAGGGCTATCTTTGGACTTTCTCCATGTCTAATGATAATCTCCGCATAAGTACGATGTTCCGTACTCCAGGATTAACCAAGACTGGATCTCTTGTGATGGAATTGATTGAACGGTTACCAGTATTTATACAGAGCTCCGCGGCTCCTGCAGCTCAGAGCTCCGCGGCTCTGAGCTCTCTACAGCACTCTGAGCAGCATCTAGAGTTGAATAACAGCAAAGAGGTTGCTGGCTACTCAATTTACATGGACAACTACTTCATCTCTGTTGCTCTATTCCATTATCTTCGAAAGCAAGGAATTGGAGCTTGTGGAACCACCCGTTCTGTCAATCTGCCTCCTCTTCTACAAGAACTAAAGAACTCCGGACTATCCGCTCATATTCCCTTCAATACTCTGTGTATAATACCTCAAAATGAGGTTCTCTGTCTTGGATGGAAAGATAATAATATAGTATTACTACTGTCTACAATTCATATGCCAGACAGCTTTGTTGAACGTGTCAGGAAGCGCCCAGGATTGAACTCAACTAATGGCCCTTAGATCCGGAGGATATTTGGAGACAATTGGCAAAAAGCAGTGGAGATTCCTACCATCTTTGATGATTACAATCATAATATGAATGGGATTGACCTAGCAAATCAGTATAGAGCATCCTATGAGACTCATATGCCCACTAATCGCACCTGGTTGACAATTCTGTACTGGATTATTGATCATGCCATTGTCAATGCTTATATTGCTTCATCGACTGGCTACTACTGGCACTACTGGCACTACTG